TGCCGCCAGATAGGGAAGAAAATCGTATCCAGCACTGATTTTTGGAAATGGCATAGGCGTTTTTCAGTGTTTTGTTAAAAATGTTGGCCACAATGTTTTCGTACATTTTCTCGTGTGATATATATATATATATATATATATATATATATATATATATATATATATATATATATATATATATATATATATATATATATATATATATATATATATATATATATATATATATATATATATATATATATATATATATATATATGTCGTACCTAGTAGCCAGAACTCACTTCTCAGCCTACTATGCAAGGCCCGATTTGCCTAATAAGCTAAGTTTTCATGAATTAATTGTTTTTCGACTATCTAACCTACCTAACCTAACCTAACCTAACTTTTTCGGCTACCTAACCCAACCTAACCTATAAAGATAGGTTAGGTTAGGTTAGGTAGGGTTGGTTAGGTTCGGTCATATATCTACGTTAATTTTAACTCCAATAAAAAAAAATTGACCTCATACATAATGAAATGGGTAGCTTTATCATTTCATAAGAAAAAAATTAGTGAAAATATATTAATTCAGGAAAACTTGGCTTATTAGGCAAATCGGGCCTTGAATAGTAGGCCGAGAAGTGCGTTCTGGCTATTAGGTACGACATATATATATATAATGCGGAACAAAATATATTCGTGTTTCTAACAAATTAATTTAACTTGAAAACTTTGTTCTTTGCTAATTTTTCTTCAGTGGCTCCTTTATTTGTCTAATTTTACTGGTAATAGATTATTGACTTTATTGTGTGTGTAGATTAGTCTCCTGACTTTACTAGTGGTCCCTGGCGTGTGTGACGCGCCTGTGACTTGTGTAACCCAGGTGGTGGACACCCAGGGGGTGGACACCCAGGTGGTGGACACCCAGGGGGTGGACACCCAGGTGGTGGACACCCAGGGGGTGGACACCCAGGTGGTGGACACCCAGGGGGTGACACCCAGGTGGTGACACCCAGGTGGTGGACACCCAGGTGGTGGACACCCAGGTGGTGGACACCCAGGTGGTGGACACCCAGGGTGACACCCAGGTGGTGGGTGGACACCCAGGTGGTGGACACCCAGGTGATGACACCCAGGTGGTGACACCCAGGTGGTGACACCCAGGTGGTGGACACCCAGGGGGTGGACACCCAGGGGGTGGACACCCAGGTGGTGACACCCAGGTGGTGGACACCCAGGTGGTGGACACCCAGGGGGTGGACACCCAGGGGGTGGACACCCAGGTGGTGGACACCCAGGTGGTGGACACCCAGGGGGTGGACACCCAGGTGGTGGACACCCAGGTGGTGGACACCCAGGTGGTGGACACCCAGGGGGTGGACACCCAGGGGTGGACACCCAGGGGGTGGACACCCAGGGGGTGGACACCCAGGGGTGGACACCCAGGTGGTGGACACCCAGGGGGTGGACACCCAGGGGGTGGACACCCAGGGGGTGGACACCCAGGGGGTGGACACCCAGGGGGTGGACACCCAGGTGGTGGACACCCAGGGGGTGGACACCCAGGGGGTGGACACCCAGGGGGTGGACACCCAGGGGGTGGACACCCAGGGGGTGGACACCCAGGGGGTGGACACCCAGGGGGTGGACACCCAGGGGGTGGACACCCAGGGGGTGGACACCCAGGGGGTGGACACCCAGGGGGTGGACACCCAGGGGGTGGACACCCAGGGGGTGGACACCCAGGGGGTGGACACCCACAGGGGGTGGACACCCAGGGGGTGGACACCCAGGGGGTGGACACCCAGGGGGTGGACACCCAGGGGGTGGACACCCAGGGGGTGGACACCCAGGGGGTGGACACCCAGGGGGTGGACACCCAGGGGGTGGACACCCAGGGGGTGGACACCCAGGGGGTGGACACCCAGGGGGTGGACACCCAGGGGGTGGACACCCAGGGGGTGGACACCCAGGGGGTGGACACCCAGGGGGTGGACACCCAGGGGGTGGACACCCAGGGGGTGGACACCCAGGGAGTGGACACCCAGGGGGTGGACACCCAGGGGGTGGACACCCAGGGGGTGGACACCCAGGGAGTGGACACCCAGGGGGTGGACACCCAGGGGGTGGACACCCAGGGGGTGGACACCCAGGGGGTGGACACCCAGGGGGTGGACACCCAGGGGGTGGACACCCAGGGGGTGGACACCCAGGGGGTGGACACCCAGGGGGTGGACCCAGGGGGTGGACACCCAGGGGGTGGACACCCAGGGGGTGGACACCCAGGGGGTGGACACCCAGGGGGTGGACACCCAGGGGGTGGACACCCAGGGGTGGACACCCAGGGGGTGGACACCCAGGGGTGGACACCCAGGGGGTGGACACCCAGGGGGTGGACACCCAGGGGGTGGACACCCAGGGGGTGGTGGACACCCAGGGGGTGGACACCCAGGGGGTGGACACCCAGGGGGTGGACACCCAGGAGGTGGACACCCAGGGGGTGGACACCCAGGTGGTGGACACCCAGGGGGTGGACACCCAGGTGGTGGACACCCAGGGGGTGGACACCCAGGGGGTGGACACCCAGGTGGTGGACACCCAGGGGGCGGACACCCAGGGGGCGGACACCCAGGGGGCGGACACCCAGGGGGCGGACACCCAGGTGGTGGACACCCAGGTGGTGGACACCCAGGGGGTGGACACTCACAAGACTTTCCTACACTGACGCAGCTGTTCTCTTCATTTATCACAACGTACAAAATCCATCGTTCTAACCGAACCAGAAACACACCAACCCAAACCACCCACCTAACCTAGCCTAACCAACCGATGCCTAGAAAACTTGGATTTTTGTGAGCCGCTACGTGTCATAGCACGCTGCATTTGGTACGCTGGTTACCCTAAAGGAGTATTAGTGGAGAGGGCAGGTTGGGTCTTCAACAGAGCCACGGCAGATGGAAGCGTAGTGTGGGTGTCGGGGCTGCAGACACGTAACATATTCTACTGTACTCCCTACCTGCAAGTACTTTAATACCAGGAACTGCAGTACAACACCAACACACCTGTGTACACACCTGTTGAACACCGGTAACTACATGCTCCCAATCAAGCCAGTTGTTTTAGATTCAGCTACTGGGAACAAAAAGTTGCAAGTAGCACGGGCTATGGTGAGCCCGTAGTGGACTTACCTGGCACAGGAGCGGGGCTGTAACTACTCAAGCCAGATTGACTGATGAAGATTAAGCCACCCAAGAGGTGGGACGAGCATGAATAGCCCGTAATGTTCAAGCCAGGGGAAACAATGCACTTTATAATAGTGAGAGACAGGTGTAGTGTACCGCCACACCTGTGCACCTCCACAGTCAAAAAGAAATCCACATACATGTACACGTCCACACACACCTGGTAACAGCTGGTCTCCTAACACCTATAGTCACATAACCACAGGTGTTAATCTGATAACATGTGCCGGTGCCTGGCAACGCGTGCGGGGGCCTGGCAACGCGTGCGGGGGCCTGGCAACGCGTGCCGGTGCCTGGCAACGCGTGCCGGTGCCTGGCAACGCGTGCGGGGGCCTGGCAACGCGTGCGGGGGCCTGGCAACGCGTGCGGGGGCCTGGCAACGCGTGCCGGTGCCTGGCAAGGTGTGCCGGTGCCGGGCAACGTCTGTGCAGGTGCCTGGCAACACTTGCAGGTGCCTGGCAAGGTGTGCCGGTGCCTGGCAACGTCTGTGCAGGTGCCTGGCAACGTCTGTGCAGGTGCCTGGCAACGCTTGCAGGTGCCTGGCAAGGTGTGCCGGTGCCTGGCAACGTCTGTGCAGGTGCCTGGCAACGCTTGCAGGTGCCTGGCAAGGTGTGCCGGTGCCTGGCAAGGTGTGCCGGTGCCTGGCAACGCGTGCGGGGGCCTGGCAACGTCTGTGCAGGTGCCTGGCAACGCTTGCAGGTGCCTGGCAAGGTGTGCCGGTGCCTGGCAAGGTGTGCCGGTGCCTGGCAAGGTGTGCCGGTGCCTGGCAAGGTGTGCCGGTGCCTGGCAAGGTGTGCCGGTGCTTGGCAAGGTGTGCCGGTGCCTGGCAAGGTGTGCCGGTGCCTGGCAAGGTGTGCCGGTGCCTGGCAAGGTGTGCCGGTGCCTGGCAAGGTGTGCCGGTGCCTGGCAAGGCGTGCCGGTGCCTGGCAAGGCGTGCCGGTGCCTGGCAAGGCGTGCCGGTGCCTGGCAAGGTGTGCCGGTGCCTGGCAAGGTGTGCCGGTGCCTGGCAAGGTGTGCCGGTGCCTGGCAAGGTGTGCCGGTGCCTGGCAAGGTGTGCCGGTGCCTGGCAAGGCGTGCCGGTGCCTGGCAAGGTGTGCCGGTGCCTGGCAAGGCGTGCCGGTGCCTGGCAAGGCGTGCGGGGGGCCTGGCAAGGCGTGCGGGGGGCCTGGCAAGGCGTGCGGGGGCCTGGCAAGGCGTGCGGGGGGCCTGGCAAGGCGTGCGGGGGTCTGGCAAGGCGTGCGGGGGGCCTGGCAAGGCGTGCGGGGGGCCTGGCAAGGCGTGCGGGGGCCTGGCCAGGCGTGCGGGGGGCCTGGCAAGGCGTGCGGGGGCCTGGCAAGGCGTGCGGGGGGCCTGGCAAGGCGTGCGGGGGTCTGGCAAGGCGTGCGGGGGGCCTGGCAAGGCGTGCGGGGGTCTGGCAAGGCGTGCGGGGGGCCTGGCAAGGCGTGCGGGGGTCTGGCAAGGCGTGCGGGGGGCCTGGCAAGGCGTGCGGGGGTCTGGCAAGGCGTGCGGGGGGCCTGGCAAGGCGTGCGGGGGGGCCTGGCAAGGCGTGCGGGGGCCTGGCTTCCTAAGGGATGGGTTTAGGGCAATACGACGGCTCACAGGTAATAGTGGTGCTAATCTGTTTAGCAGAAACAGTTGCTGATTTAATTTGCCGACATTGCTTTGGGTGATTCAAACTTGTCACACGTAAATGTATTGTTTGGCCAGAACGCGAGTTGTAGAGTAGCAGGGCGGTAATAATGTGAAAACACGGTAACGAATAACATTGTTTTACAGGATGGTGTCGAAGTCAAGGAGGAGCTGCCCAAGAAGGTGCGGGCGGAGGAGTTACCACCCACTACAGCGCCATCTCCCTACGCGCCTTACGACCCGTCAATGGTCCTGTCTTACATGTGGCGGTGTGCGAGCTTGGCGCCTTCTTGGACGGCAACTGCACTTCTCACCAGAGACGGCAAGACCCTGCCCCCACCCCCACCTGCCTTCCTCAGAGACAGGTAAGAAATACTCCTTCCACCACCCTTGCTGTGTCACACAGGGCGGGATAAAATGATACATAAATTGATGAAAAAAAACATATACAGAGTTATAAGATTGTATTTTAGATACTACGTGTATAACCCCTTATGCACAGTACCTACACAATACAGTTCCTTCTGTCAGTACAGCTACCGATAAGCCTAGCTGTACTTAGGCTTATCAAGGTCAAGGCCTTCACCCTTGCTTTCCTAAGACAGGTAAAACCCCCAGACTCTTGCCTTCCTTAAACACACGAGACCCAACACTGCCTTCCTCCTGGAAATAAGACATCCCCACACATACCTCTGCCTTCCTTATAAAAGAAAGACTACACACACACACACACCCTACCTTCCTCGTACAAGTAAGACCACCCCCTACACCTGCCTTCCTCAGACAGGTGTGGTCCCCCTCACCCTTCCATAACTTAGTTTTTAACATGAGTTTCATTTCTATGTGCACTATTTTACTTGTTTTGTTGTTCTGTTTACAGTGTGCCAGCTACGGTGCCAGCGTACCTGAGCCAGGGTCCCCCGGTGCTGGCCGACCCCGCCAGAGTAGTTCCTCTCTCAGACTCCCAAAAGTTTGAGCGGCACTACCAGCCCAACGTGGCTCTGGCACCCCCTAAGGTGAGGGACAAGGCCTGCCGGGAGTTGCTGCCCATCAAGGACCTCCCACCTCTCGACCTCCACGACCCCCACGATGACAAACTCGCAGTTTTTCTGGTGAGTTTCTTTTCGTTCTCTTTAGCTCTTAGGTTGTTCAGTACTTTTAGTTGTTCACCGAATACTATTTTATCTATATTTGACACATATAATATGTCTGCTGAAGACATTATTAATATCTGCTTGAAGTTTTCAAAGTTTTTGATTGGGCAACAGAAAATAACACGATGTTTAACAGTGATAAATTCCAGGTACTCGGGTACGGTAAAAATGAGGACCTTAAACATAATACAGGGTACAAAACACAATCAAATTTGCCCATAGTAGGAAAGCAGCATGTCAAGGATTTGGGAATAATGATGTCTGACGACCTAACGTTTAGGGAGCATAACCAAGCAAATATTGCGTCAGCCAGAAAAATTATAGGATGCATTACAAGAACTTTTAAATCCAGGGATCCCATCACAATGGTTATACTCTTCAGGTCACTTGTGTTGTCCCGTCTTGAGTACTGCTCAGTACTCGCTTCCCCCTTCAGAGCAGGAGAGATTGCTGAAATAAGAGGAAGCAACACAGAACATATACGGCACGCATAGACGAGATAAAGCACCTAAATTATTGGGATAGTCTCAAAGCTCTCCAAATGTACTCACTAGAAAGAAGACGAGAGAGATCTCAAATAATATACACATGGAAAATACTGGAGGGACAGGTCCCAAATCTACACAGTAAAATAACAACGTACTGGAGTGAACGATATGGAAGAAAATGCAGAATAGAACCAGTGAAGAGCAGAGGTGCCATAGGCACAATCAGAGAACACTGTATAAACATCAGAGGTCCCCGGTTGTTCAACGTCCTCCCAGCGAGCATAAGAAATATTGCCGGAACAACCGTGGACATCTTTAGGAGAAAACTAGATACTTTTCTCCAAGGAGTGCCGGACCAACCGGGCTGTGGTGGGTATGTGGGCCTGCGGGCTGCTCCAAGCAACAGCCTGGTGGACCAAACTCTCACAAGTCAAGCATGGGCTCGGGCCGGGCTTGGGGAGTAGAAGAACTCCCAGAGCTCAATCAAGTACAGGCTGAATAGGATGTGGAGGCAGGCTGGCTGGCTGGCCGACCCCATGTGATCTGGGCTGCCTTCTGGTGGCAGTCAAGCACAAAGATTATGGTATTTACCTTTCAACAGCTATTGGTTTGCTTAGTTGACCTACAGTTGCCTAATTTCCTTCAAGCAGTCATTCGTTCTGTTGTGCCTATGCATTCTGGTGGGTGTTTCTTGGATTTGACTATCTCTTGATTCCCAAGCATTGTAAAGTGAGCCAGATTCTGACCCTGGCTTTTATTAGGCAACAGATGGGGTCTGAGACCTGGGTTGGTGGTTCCAGAGCAAGGCTTGGGAAGCTACCGAGGGGTTCCTTCCTGAAGGGACAATGAACATTGTGGTTTGTACCACAAAACATGATAAATGCATGGCCAAATGACTATACCAGTAGTTGTATTGCCAATACTGGCATTGTACTGTACTTTTCTTTGTTTCTTAGGTGGCTATATTGACTTTGACTCAAGAATAGGCTGCTTCATAAGTGCATGCACTTTTGTAACCATTTACTTAGATAAGCGGCTTTGTCCTTGTTCGAGGTCTACTGAATAAACTGCATAAAGCTGTAAATGTGGTGGTATGTTAGTTCACTTGGACAGGAGGGACACCTGTACTGTAACCGACAGCTTTTATTCATCATATATCCCAAATCTAATGAACAAATCCACAAGGGCCGTGACGAGGATTCGAACCTGTGTCCGAGAGCATCCCAGACGCTGCTGGGTTATCCCAAATCTACACAGTAAAATGACAACATACTGGAGTGAACAATATGGAAGGAATTGCAGAATAGAACCAGTGAAGAGCAGGGGTGTCATAGGCACAATCAGAGAACCCTGTCTGAACATCAGAGGTCCACAGCTGTTCAACACCCTCCTAGCAAGCATTAGAAATATTCCCAGAACAAAAGTTGGATGTATTCTAGAGGCAGTTAGATAAATTCTTGCAAGAAGTACCGGACCAACCAGGTTGTAGTGGGTATTTGGACCTGGGGGCCGCTCCAAGCCTGGTAGACTAAGTTATCACAAGTCAAGCCTGGCCTCACCCACTGCCTTGCTGCAAATACACCTATATTCGGTGTGGACTGGGGCAGCAAGGCAGAGGGCCACTACAACTCAGGAGGCCTGTAGCACCAGGCGTGTGCAAGTTGTTGACATTGGGGTTGCAAAAATGAAGTCCCCTGCATGAGGAATAGAACTCCCAGAACCCCATCCAGGTACAGTCCTGGTAGGTGTATAATAATAATAATAATAATAATAATATATAGTATTCTAAATATTTTAGGGGTACCACCTCTGGTGCAATTGTAGGGACCCACAGCCTCAAAGAAGGAAATAAAGAGTATTCAGAGAAGACCTTGTGGATTCTCGCTGAACACTTTAAATATATATATTATATATGTACAGTATATATAAAGGGGGGTACCACCTTTAGTCGTTTGTAGGGACACTGAAGGTCCCTAGTTGAAGGAGACCTGGTCGAGGACCGGGCCGAGGGAACATTGAACCCCAAAATCATCACAAGGTAAACCCTCAAGTCTTGAAAACGATGATATGCAGCACCCAGGGGTCTTGTTGAGCTCTCTCGTGCACTGTTACACAGTGAAAGTTGATTGATTGACTGTTGAGAGGCGGGCCGAAAGAACAGAGCTCAACCCCTGCAAGCACAACTAGGTGAAACTATGTGAATACAGTATTGTCTTCTCCTACCAACCCCCTTACATATATATAGAACTTTATTGCACATTATCTATACAGTATAAAGTATTAATATTTTCATCGGAGATTGGCACAATGGTTTTAAATTGTAAAAAGTAATTTTTTCTGAGTATACACAAATACGTCTGATTAGATACAAATTTTAACACAAGTTATGCCATAATATGGCTGCTTTTTTGTTTCACTTGACACAGTCATGCAAGGATGTTGTTTGACTATGTGAAATATTATCCTACAATGCAAGAAGTTGTTTGTATAGCTCTGCTTTTAATTTAAATGTACCCGAGTAATTAAAAATCATTTAGTAAACATTTAATGGTATATTTAAAACAGATCAGAAAGCCAGTAGAAGTGGAATGCATAAAGCGTGAAAACTGCTCAGTGTCAGGTGGGTGTGATCAGTCGCCCACCTCCATCCAGGTGACGACCAGCCCCACTCGCACGCCCCAACACACTCACCAACCAAGGAAGCTGTGTAGTCCAGATACCAGTGGACGTCATCCAGAGCTGGAGTTGTCCACTACCGACTCTGACACTGATTCCGTAGGATCATCCACCAACCACTGTAAGTACACTATGCAAGGTAGAAATGCATACAATTAAACACCCTTGTTTTCTTAATGTTTTAATGTATTTCCAGAACGATGGATATCTTCTCAAATGTTCATCTTATTATACAGTCTCATTATTTTTCTCATTGTCTTGGATTTGTTTTGGGGTACAATTAATTAAGTTCTGATTAATGGCAGTTCATGACAGTTGGATATACTTGCACCTTAATTTTACCTTTTCCCTGTAGAATTCGGGGAATGTATAGAATATGGGGTCAGTAATGAAAAATCCCCAAAATGGCCTCAGTTAATATTTTTAATAGATATTTTTGGATGAAATGGTGCCACATGCTCCAGAATTCTCCTGCCTTTACAATTTTCATTTGTTCCTCGTTTATTCATATACTATACTGTTTATTGTACCTGTGTGTGTATTTATATTTATTTATAATTTTATTTATAATTTTTTTTACATGAAATGTTACAACATTGGATACAAACAGGGTAACATTTTAGTTATCACAAACTGTAGAATTTCCCCAGCTGCTCATATGGCAGGCAGGAACCATGAATGCATTATATATTTTTCCCCTATGTATTGCCACACAGGGACTGGAAAAACTCTAATAATGTCTCATTTCAATTAGCTTTGAACCCAGATCCATAAAAAATAAACTGGTGGCTCTTATCTTAGACACTGTCTCAGTGGCAATGGTAACAAAATTGTAAAGGTGATCCAGATCTCTCTAATTATGGGAATTGGTTGCTTCCCTGTGAATGGATACCACCCAGATGTGCAACAGTGAAGTCAGTGTAGATGTTAGCCAAGGTTGAAATGCGGGTGTAGTCCCACACCAACTGCCTACCATTCTTCCAGGGATTCACTGTGATCCCATCGAGGTGACCAACAGGTTTGTCACAGGTGCAGTGGTAATGGGGCATTCTCTCTGCTGCCCAACCAGCTGTGGTAAGGCTCTTAATGTCATTGACTTCAGTGTGTCTTGTGCTACATAGCCTTCCTGGCTTGGTGCCTTCTTTTGATAATTACTTCACTGTATCTTGAGCACCATCCCCCTTTGCTTTGGCAGAGCACTCCATGCTGGCTGAACCTGTTGCCCACTGCCTTGCTGCTAATACACCTATATTCGGTGTGGACTGGGGCAGCAAGGCAGAGGGCCACTACAACTCAGGAGGCCTGTGGCATGAGACGTGTGCAAGTTGCTGACATTGGGGTTGCAAAAATGAAGTCCCCTGCATGGGGAGCTGCTACTGCTCTAAGGTTAGCAGTGTAGTGTGGTGGTGGTGGAGAATCTTGGTCTACAATGGGGCCATCCCAACTGGATTACTTGTGGCCTTTATATGATGGTGGTTGAGTACTGGTTTTGAGAGACCACTTGGTGGTACAGTGTGTAAAATTGAGATTGTGTACCCCTGCCTGTTGGCCTAGGTAATCCGATAGGATTTCCTTCACCAGGTTGTCAGATGCTGCTGAAGAGGACAGTAATGCTGGCACAGCAATTTGTGTTGCTGTAAGAATGCAGAGCCCCCCCCCCTCCCTGAGTCTGACCAGAAGGGAAGCTTGTTTCCACTGTAGGTCATTGAAAGGTTAAAATCTTTTCTAACTTATTTCAGTAAGCTGTCATACTCCTCTATCTTAAGGCTATTGAAAGATGGCAAATATCTAAGAAAAGTAGGTTAGCCTGGTGAGGGCTATGCATCTGGTGTTAAAGTGTATCTGCGAGGTAAAGTGTATCTTGAGCATCAGTATCTTCAGTCCTCTCAACCATCCTCTTCAGATCAGTGATCTTACCGAGGACCTCGTCAACTGCCTTCAAGTGAAGAGGAAGTGTGCTGTCTTCAGGATGTTATATGGATATTGGGGAAACATCCTTTGTTCAGTCTACATGTACTGGTTGGAAAGGGTTATTTTTTGTGGCCTGGGAATTTGCAGGACAATGTTACACAGCATATATTGCAGGGATTTTGAGCCAATTGCATCACATCCTAAAATTCAGATTAAAATCAATTATACTCTATATGGTCATCCTCAGGTGAAACAGTAGAGGAAGCAGAAGGTCTCCTTCGAGGATGGAGTGATAAAGCTGCAGCAGGAAAGGTAGCGCAATTGGTTGCGGATTTAGTAGCTCGTCTTGCTGCCAGTGATCGTCAAAATGCGGTTCTCAGACAGCGCCTTGAAGCACAGACACGTGTCCACAATCATACTGTCACAGATCTACGCAACCAGCTCTTGGCTAACACACAACACAATAAGGTGAGTTTTTTATTTTAACTTGTGGCAGTCTGGCTAGGACTCGGCCAAGGTAGGACATCAGAGTGGGTCTGTAAATGGTTAAAATCTCTTACATAATTCAAATTCAGGCTAATTTACCAAGTAATTCTTCTACACCTCTGATGTCCTGTATAAAATTAACCAAGACTATTGTTTTTAATAGTGTTCATTTAAATAAAAATTTTGACTTGCACTTATTTAAAATTAAAGGTAAGGGTCATAATAGGGTCTAAATTTAAAATAATTTATTTGGGGTGTGGTAATTTCACCAAAAGAATGCGACTTACTGTCCAACCAGCTCCTTACCAGTCAACCATTCTAATAATTTGATAAATAATAATAATTATTACTATTAGAAAAATTGTTTTTGTAAAAAAAAAAAAAAAAAAAAAATTAATATCAGGTATTTTGTTTTAAATTCGTACGTTTAGTGCAAACTACACTAAATTAATAATACTGTATACCCACTAAAAATATAATACAGTACTGTATAACAGAAACCCAATTTTTAAATGCCTAGATTTTAAATTTTAAATTTTTACAGGATGAAGATCAGTTGCGTGAGAAGGTTTGTGTGCAGAGAGAACTGCGCACTTTGCGTGAAGAGTTGCATCCTCGCCCTCCCCCATCTGTGATAGCTCCCACTTCCCTTGTCAAAACTGAGCCCAGCGACGTTTCTGACACATGTTAGGCCGCTGCCTAAGCACTGGCTCGTGCTGTCCCCAGTACCGCAGAGATGGTCGCAGTACAAATGTGGCACTGATGTGCCGCCCGGGCTGCCTACTGCCGCTGCTGTTGTTGGGCACCTGGGCCCAGGCTGCTGCTGCGGACCCGTGGTCACAACCTGCTTGTGGCTACGGGTGGCCGCCCCTCTCACCGGCTTACACCTCAGGCTTGTAGTTAGGTGGGGTGGGGGCCGCGCCATGATCTCAGCCCGTACTCACCGCACGGGTCTCACTTGGTGCTACGCCACAGCCGTGTGTCGGGTGGTGCCACTGGCCGTACATGGTGCTCATGTGGGGCCACTGCCCCTCTGGTGTACAGAGGCTGTGTGGTGCCGCCCCGGCACCAGGACGCTCTGGGGGTCCAAGGGGGGATCACTGCCCCCCCAGGGCCTAGGAAAAGCAAGTACAAACGCATAAGTTAACGAATCTGCTTTGTTGGGAAGGTTAAATATAAAAATTTTAAAGATTAAATAAGTGGTTTACTTTATGGTAAACTTATATACTGCCTGGTATGCAGTGGGCAGTAGTGTGATCCAGGTCAGCTCACCACCAAACCTGGCTCACTTAGTCCTGCTGCTGCCCTTATAACCATGCACGTGCGCACCAACCCAGTGATTACTGTACCCGCGTCAGCTATGCAGTGTTAAATCGAGTCAGATGTTGCTTAAGCATCTCATGTTGGTGGAGTGCCACTTGAACGCCATGACCAGAGACCCAAAAAACTCCAGCATACCTGCCCATAAAAATTGTTGTCACTTAAGAGATTTATAGTTGTACCAGTTCGGGACTCGGGTCACGGCGCTCACTTTGGCTGCTTATTTGTGTTCATCTATGTAACTAGTTAATTATGTGTAATGATTAAATCATACACTATTATGTTATTTATAATTCTCTACTATAATGCTAGTACACGTGCAGCCGTGCGTGCAAGGGGCATAGAGAGTCCACAATCTCTTCTCCCCACTACACCACCCTGGCCTGGCGGTCCGTGCCAAGTTCATCTTGCCCCCTAACTTACCTGTCATTTGTTTGTAATAAGTAATAAGGTTATTTAGGTGACTCATCAAGCAAAGCTTGGTTTAGAATTCATTATTTTTGGTAGAACTGCCCCTCCATATAGCCATGACGAATGTGGTCCACTCACCGTCATGGGCCGTTGTGTTGTAGCTGCCATTGTAGGCTGCCTATCAGCCACTCATCAACATCACTCCTTCCCGAGTGCCATTATGAAGGGTGACAGGTGGGCAGAGTATGAGGTGAGTCAGCCATGTAACAAGTGTGTGGGAGGGTAGTGCAGTGGACATGTGATGTTCACGGCATATGATGACCGTCCGGCTCAGAGCCCTGCATGCCTTCCTACCACTACCGCCGCCCAGTGCAGTTGCCACCAGCCAGGTGGGCACACTGCGGCACACTCCCAGTGAGAACACAACCCAGTCAGTTCCGCAGATGTGACAAACTCCAAAAAAAAAACAAAAAAAAAACTGAAATTATTTGTTATACTCAATGGGTGGCACTAAAATAAAATTGTGTCCAAAGAAAATTTTATTTTTATCCTTACTATACAGCGTTCAAATTTCTTACTGTTTGTTAATAAAACAAATGTGTAGAATAATTTTATTAGTAAATGTTTTATATAGGAAACATCTGTAGGTCAAAACTAGTCTTATTACATTTATCAAAATACTGTACCAATATATTCCTTCAGAATGTTTGTGTTACAGGTGGGGAAGCTACAGAACCCTTGCAGAGACTCGTTTGCATTTCCTTTTCATCAGGAAACTGCATATGCCAAGACATTAAACATCGAGCCTGGCCACAGGCTGGGCTCCGGGGGGAGGGGGGGGGGGGAAACAGAGCTCCCGAAACCCTCTCAAGGTATAATTTAAAACCCTACCAGTGTCAATCTAGGCATCATGCATTTAACAAAATACTGTACTGTATAATCATATTCTCTACCAGTGCCCAATTTATAGAGGGGAATACTACAGTGCATCTCTTACCTACTGTGCATTTGGATTCACATTTTTAAATTATATACAATAGTATACTGTATACTATATACCAAATTTCAACTTTATATCCAATGCATAATTCTTAACTCAATACATACAATGTAATCTATATCCAACTCAAATGGGGTAATCTATATCCAACTCAAATGGGGTAATTTATCCAACTCAAATGTTTTGTTCATAAAACAACAAAATATATTTACCATTAAAATGTTTTAAAAACAAGGCCTTAAAGCTGACTCTTCAAACCCCACCTGCAAGGCCATTCTTCCCTTCTGAAAACTGCAAAACCTACTAGTGCATTAAAACCAAGTACAGTGGTACCTCGCATAACGAATTTAATCCGTTCCATGTTCGTCATGTGAAACGGACGTCATACAAAACGAGTGTCCCCCCATGTAACCAGTGTGATGCACTTTATTTATTTATTTATGCATATACAAGAATGTACATAAGGAATGTGAGGATACAAATATGGTAATTACAGTCTTGTAAAGCCACTAGCACGCGCAGCGTTTCGGGCAGGTCCTTAATCTAAGAAAATTTTAAGGAGGTAAATACTTGCAAAATTTATAGACAAAAAAATGATAACAGTTACATGAAATGAAAAAAAGATGAGAGAAAATTGTAGGTACAGTATATTAAAGCACATAGGTAGCTAAGATTGATTGCAATGACAGCTTGAATGGTAGTTGACAAAAATTGGTAGGCACAATACAGCAGAAACAATATAAGATTGATTGCAATGACAGCTTGAATGGTAGTTGACAAAAATTGGTAGTCACAATACAGCATATGGCTAGCACATAAAAGAAGACAGCAATGAACACAATGATAAGGTTGTTTGATATTACATAAAAATTAGGAGATTGGGTAACACTAGGTACAGAGCAAATTTAAAGCTCAGTGTAGGAAACTAAGAAGATGAAGTTAGGTACTTTTTGGTTTTGCTTTTAAATAAGGCAAAAGTTTTACAGTTTTTCAATTCACTAGGGAATGAGTTCCATAGACTAGGTCCCTTAATTTGCATAGAGTGTTTACACAGATTAAGTTTGACCCTGGGGATATTAAAGAGATATTTATTTCTGGTGTAGTGATGTTCCGAACCTTAATGGAATCTGACCCATATATCAATCAGGTCAACCCATGTGTTGCGTTTCCAAAAGGGTCGCCCATGTTAGAATCGGTGAACGCCCTAGTAATATTGTTGAAAACATCTTAATAACTTATTAAACCAAAGGTCTTTTTATGTCAGAAGAACGGCAGAAACTGGATCTATATATGAAAACGCTTTCAGGACAAAATTTAAAGTAAAACTAAAGATATTTGTAGTTGTATAAAAGTTGCATTTTTCATCGGTCGTAGAGCCGGAAATCCGCAATATTCATCTCAGAACAATGCTTATTTCACGCAGAATCGTTAATAAACGTAAGATTTGTATACGTCTCAAGAAAGATAGAAACATAATCTTCATTTTAAATGCCTTACCATGGGCATATTTGTATTTAAAGCGAAGATACGTGTATTTTTCTAATCGGCGAGCTCCGATCCCGCACAGATCGAGCAACGGAGTAACTCTCCCAGAACAATGCTTATTTCACGTAAATTCGTTAATAAACGCAAATGTTTTATATGTCTCAAGAAAGATAGAAATATAAGCTTCATTTTAAATACTTTACCATAGATATATATAAAGTTCTAATGAAGATACATGTGTTTTAATAATCGCCGAGCTCCGACCCCGCACAGACTGATCGACAGAGCAACTCTCTCTCAGAACAATGCTTATTTCACGTAAATTCATTAATAAACACATATGTTTTATATGTCTCAAGAAAGATAGAAATATAAGCTTCATTTTAAATACTTTAACATAGACATATATAAAGCTCAAGTGAAGATACATACGTTTTTATAGTGGCATTCAGTAGCTTGTCGGTCATGGAATGCAGAAGCCTACGCACTTGCCAATATAGTGTGTAATTAACAAAGATACGCTTATAAAGCCTAAAATATTATATGCCTTCAGAAAGACAGAGATATGCTCGTTATTGTGAGTGCACCAAAGGAAATATATCTTGTTGGAGGACAAAGATATATCAATTCTAAAATAAGTTTCGACTCTCGCTCGGGCGAGAGATAGCACGACTCTCGCCCCATCTATTGGAGATTCTGTTCACCTAATGACCCAAAGCTACTCAAAGCCTCCTAGCATTACTTAAATAATGAAGAAATATGGTATATTTATTCACTATAATGTTGGTGCTTAATGCAGAACACGAGAAAACATATATTTACTATAAAATAATATACTTCCATTATGAAATAAGTAAATATGTGGCCTCATAGGAAGTCAACGTCCAGGTGTCAATGTTGTGGAGCGACTTATCCAAGATATATTGTTGTCTGGAAAGTGTTTGTTGGCATATCAACCTTCTGTACACAGTGATCCAGTCGTCGCACTTCTCTCCTTAAATGATCGCAAATTTAGTTTATTATATTAACAAGTAGAATACGTATTTCTAATAATATCTAACATAAATATCCAGAAAATATTTAAGACTTATTGAAAAATACATGTCTGGAAGTTAAATCGACTTCATAGAACAATAGTGTTGGTCTATACTAATCGTTATTCGTTAGTATGCGTTCGCTACTTAAAACATTTACTGTACTGATGTAAAATCTCCCATGTCTCTTCGCACATGGAACACCGAACCTTACACACTCTCTGATATATTGTTTAATTAATAGAGATTCACTAATAAAGCTTATAATTGTATATGTTATCAAAAAGGCATAGATAAAGTCGTTCTTACGTTTTTGTCACAGAGATTAGATATTAGTAAAGTAAAGTTCATTTTATTCAGGAAAGTACATAAATAGTCGATTTACAAACATAATATTGGATTTATAGATAGAGCTAGTACATACAATACCTATAGCCACTAGTACGCATAGCGTTTCGGGCATATTATTGAGAGAGGAAAGATATTTATATTTAAACAATTTTTTTTTTTTTTTACCGACGCTCTCCCAAGTTCAAGTTCAAGTTCAAGTATGTTTATTGAGACAAGAAAAAAATACATCTCAAAGGGATAGAGTAGCTTAGGCTATTTCTACCCCCCTCTACTTCAAGTCCCTCAAGGGGCGCACAAATTCAGTGAGTACAGATACACAAATCACAATACAACATTTAACATTGCATATTAATATAGTAAGTGTTACAATCATTGGGGCAAAATTCTTGTAGTTCCTAAGTATTCTGTCTATCATATCATTATCACACATCCAAACAATTTGAAGTGGTACACTACTTATTTCCTTATTTCTATGGTTATCCATAATTTGACACTTTAATACATAATGGTCTTCCAAGTTCAAGTAGGTTTATTGAGACAAGTTGGCATATTCTAATCTACTCTAAATATTTCTAAAAAAAAAAAAAAAAAAAAAAAAAAAAAAAAAAAAAAAAAAAAAAAAAAAAAAAAAAAAAAAAAAAAAAAAAAAAAAAAAAAAAAAAAAAAAAAAAAAAAAAAAAAAAAAAAAATCAAAGATTAGCTTAGGCTATTTCTACCCCTTCCCATACTTCAAGTCCCTCAAGGGGCGCACAAATTCAGTGAGTACAAATACAAGAATCCCATGTAACATATCAGGTTAATATAGTACTATCTAAGAGTATAATAGTGTACATCCACCGCACTAGATTTTAACCCATTAACGCTCCAAGATAATATTCTCACTCTACTTTCATCCATGATTTAATAAAACTACCTTTGCCCTGTCTGTCACATTCCATGAGATACGAGATTTTCTCAGACAGACTCTCCCAACAATGTAACATTTCTGCTTTCTCCTCATTTGCACAACAGCTACTAGCATCAAAGGTGATCTTATTCATATCTAATTTCTTTCTTATTTCTCTATACCGTTTTACTTTAACCTTTGTTTCGACATTTGTCACTACAGAAGGTTGAACGCTAACACTACTAGAAAGTTCATTTTCCTGACTATCCTCTATCATCAATACGTCATGTTCTTCCTTACTTTCTTCAACGCACATTTCACGTCCTGTTTCACTTTCCACTTCACGTCCTATTTCACTTTCCATTTCACGTCCTGTTTGACTTTCCATTTCACGTCCTGTTTCACTTTCCATTTCACGTCCTGTTTCACTTTCCATTTCACGTCCTGTTTGGCTTTTCATTTCACGTCCTGTTTGGCTTTCCATTTCACGTCCTGTTTGGCTTTCCATTTCACGTCCTGTTTGGCTTTCCATTTCACGTCCTGTTTCACTTTCCATTTCACGTCCTGTTTCACTTTCCATTTCACGTCCTGTTTCACTTTCCACTTCACGTCCTGTTTCACCACCATCTTCACCCCGTCTACCCCCCATAGTTAATTTTTCTAATGCCTCAATCCTCTTTTCTAGTTTTTTTAGATATTCCAATATTTGAGTACCAACCTCAGAGTTCACTATATTGACCTGAACCTTGTTTCCACAAGGTTTAATTTTTTCAGCTGCATT